TTCCCAAATATACGCCTTAAAGCTACCTTCAAACCTAAAACCTGCAAAAAAACTACAAATCTGCCATATTTTTCTTTTTCACGAGTACACATTCTAGGTTATATTTATATTATACATTATTTGATTACAGCTGATTATTGCATTTCAAGCAGTGACACATGCGTGGGATCTGTCAACTCTTGGTACCAGTCACAAAACATATTATGCTCTGAAGGTTTAATTCCATGCTATTCAATGACACCACGGTGACTTGTGTGATTATCAGCGGCCATTTTGTGAGGGTGCGACAGGGTTGCCAGATTGTGCATTAATATCCCGTTTCACCCTCCTGGTCCCAGTGGAGTAAGTTCCGAAAACTGTTGAAATACACTCTACTATGCTTTATAAGACTATTCGTGACATTTTCCCAAAATCATTGCACAACACTTAAAAAATGCAAATGAAAATTTAAAATTATTTTCTTGACGCCGCAATATAGCTCCGTCGGTACCTTGGGTTATACATCTTGACAGTAGGGATGTTCGATACGTTCCTATATTTAGAAGAACAAACAATAAACATTACTAGTTTTCTTGATTTTTGGACATTGTCTGTGAAACATTTTTCATAATTTTTTGTCTATGTCCATAGTAATTGCATTATGCATCAGGGAGATGTAGAGATTGACACGTCTTACACATATTATCTGTGTTTTAGGATGGAGGGGACATAATGTTTTTATTGCTTTGAAGAAATTCATAATCCCATAAATTAATAAATGATTATTATTATGACGTAAAGGAAGATGAGGAATTGGATGGAATGTATTTTATATTCTATTTTCTTGCAAAATACAGACAAATCCACACTATTCAACAGGTATGTAATGATAACTTTCAGTATATTGAAGTTGGTAAATTCAAAAGTGCCATGCACTAACAAACGTCCAAATCTGCTGCCAAATTTAACAGCTAGAAAATCGACCTATTATTTGCCGCTTTCCCATTCGCTGAGGGGGACAACGGATTGTTAAATGTAAACCTATAACATATATCAAAATACATGAAAGCTGTCCTGTTTTTTCTGTACAAAAGCATCATGTTGGAATCAAAAAGTGGTCTTGTTTATAATACAGTCGAATTTTCACGATTTTATTCAATATTTCAATAGAAATCACTAATTTTCAGATACCTTTGACAGATTCCGTCAAATTGCATTTCGATAAAGTATGTTCTCATTGGTCCATAATATTAATGTTGGTGAAATTGGCCCTAAGTCTTTCTTGATGTAAATGTGATATACCCGTAACACCCAAAAAACACAATCTCATTGTCGAAAATTTTTGGGATTACAATCTTTTGGCATTAGGCTAGGGAAGTAAAGGTAAGGCCTAAGCCAATGAACCAAACACTGCGCAGCTGAAGAAATATATTTTTCCTAACAAGAAGTGAGGGGAAACGTAATCAAGATAGAGCGGTTTCCATATACGGACATTTATGCGATATCATTTATCACGCACCTTCCAGCTTTCAATGAAAGTGGATGGATCAGGCAGCTATGTATTTGTCTTGTATTTAATACTATGTGTAATTTCGGGTAACAATTTATTAGGTAACTGTGTATTCTCATCTTTCACTGAAAAAATCACACTGTATATAGAAATTAAATGCATATCTTCTATTATGAGACAACTTCTCTGTATGGTTAAGAATGAATACACATATAGAGTATGCTTAATATTCCTATCAGCAGTTAAAATCTTACACCCCAAAACTGATGCTAGACATGTTGGTAGCAAAACATTTGAAATGTCTCAATGAGCTATTCATTCCAGCTAGTCGGTGTCCAGATCATCGACAGCTACTGGTAAAGACCCAGGTTATTTGTTTACGGCGAAGAAGTAATTTTTTCGACACAACCTTCTGATTGCGCACAAAGCCCACATAAAACCTGGCTTCGAGTATTTATCACATGTTCCCGGTTCTGTCGCCCCGACTACATTGACCGAACTCGATGCTGCTCAGAGGAGGTCTCTATGATACTTCCTTAGTGGACAGAATCGGGACCCTATGACGTTACCGCGTCTTGAACCTTCCAAACGGACAATCCTGGCTTCTGCCCCTCATCCCAAATCTATCGAACCTAGGCAGTTCCCAAATTGGATTAACAAGTTTAACTTTGAGTTATTCCTTACAGTAGTCGTTATGGCCTGGCTTCTGCCTACACCACTTTTTGGGTATATAAGTAAAGTGGAAAACTTCGTAAAGGATGGGGTGTGATTTGTATGTATGTGTGATTGTTTTTTTATAATCGAAACTCTTGGCTGGTCGAAATGGTTCTTAGCTATATTTGATGAAAATCAGTTAAGCTGCTTCAAAGTTGAAACTGGTGTACGTGGGGGTGACCTATTAATCTGACTGATTTTAACCATTGACACAAAAACTCCCAAAAGGATGAACCCACGTAAGTTAGTTGTTTTGAGCTGTACTTAGATATATATAGGTACTAAGTGACATATAAATCCGAACACCCAGTTTAAACGGTTTTATTTTAATAAAATTTTGTATAAGTACTTAATGAAGCATAATAAGTAAATAATAAAAATTTCAAAATGATTGCACTGCCTTAAAGCCCTTTGACCTTTAATAATGTGTGGATGCACCCTGATGTGCTACGCATTCTCCAACGCGCCTAGGCATGCTTCTGATCAGGTGGTCAATGTCCTCCTGTGGTATCTCATTCCAGGCAACCACCAACTCCTCTCGAAGTGTTTCTAGAGTCTGAGAAGGACGTTGCAAATTGAGCAATCTCCTATCCATCATATCCCACAAGTGCTCAATTGGGGATAAGTCGGGAGATCTTGGTGGCCATGGTAACAATGTGACATCATTATGTTGAAAGGAGTCTATTGTGACTCTTGCAACATGTGGTCGGGCATTATCTTGTTGGAAAGTTGGATCTGCCAGGGTGTCAAGATATGGTAAAAGATGAGGTTCTAGAACTTCGTGGATATAACGCTGCGCGTTCATGTTACCTCTGATGAAGATTAAAGGTGACCTGGAACCATAAGCTATAGCACCCCAAACCATAACTCCAACAGTGTGATGAACATTTCTTTCAACAAAAAACTGTGGATTCCTCCTTTCACCACGTCGCCTTCTAACCCTGGCACGACCATCGTGCATGCCTAAACAAAATCGAGACTCGTCACTAAAGACAATACTGTTCCATTCCTGATCCCAGAGTGACCGTTGTCTGCACCACTGAAGGCGATTACGTCGGTGTTCTCGAGTTAAAAGGAGGACCCAGTGTGGCCGGTATGAAAACAAGCCAAAACTTCTCATTCGTCGGTAAACACTTCGCATGCCAATAGGTCTTCCGTCTTCTGCAAACCATTCACTTGCAATGGACCTGGTAGTGGAGAAACGGTCCCTTAAGGCCAATAATCTTAGGCGGCGATCTTCACGGTCTGTTGTTCTACGGCGGCGTCCAGTGCCCCTTGCTCTTTGCGTACGGCCTTCTCAAAGCCATGCCTGACAACACCTAACCACAGTGTCTACACTTCTTTGCACTCTAACTGCAATTGCCCGAAAAGAAAGTCCAGCTTCCCGAAGTCCCACTATACGGCCCCTATCAAACTCACTAAGTTGACGAAATCGTACAGGTCTCCGTACTCTAGGCATCCTAACCGATCGTAAAGGATGTCAAGAACCAAAATCCGCCAACGTTGATTCTTTACTGCGGCTGAAATATTCATTTTTATAGCGTTAGTGAATTAAAAAAAAGCAGTATAAAAACCGGAATGTCCAACTGATAAGGCTGAAATTTTTTTCACTTGTTATTTACAGTATGATAAATACATTCACCAACTTTTATTAAAATAAAACCATTTAAACCGGGTGTACGGATTTATATGTGACTTAGTATAATAATGTCGTAAACAGGACTGCAACTTTGTTGCTTTACATATATTCAACATTACGTAGGTACTACAATGTCTGTATCGTAAGCATTAAATGATGCTTTGCTAATGAATGTACCAGCATGAGAGTTTCTTGAAGGTGAGAGGGGCTCGTTAATTTGTCAAATATCTCATAGAGTTCATGGTCAACTTGATTGATGTCATCATAGATGGAGAGCCATGATATATGGATGAAGAGTCTTCTACAACCCCCCCCCCCCCTTCAGAAAAAAAATAATAGGTAGCCTAGAACACTGTAGAAGCTCGGTTGTCCCTTTGTGATAATACACCAAGCTGTATACGCAGATTCACGATCCATGACAATCGCTTCCCATCCGAGCTATAAGTTATCGAGAGGAAGGTAAATGGAGGCGACGTGAGTCGATTCCTCCATTGAAAAATTGATATAAATACCAGAAGAGTAAAAGGGGAAAGAGGCAGACTCAACTTTGAAAAGGCGACACGAACTGCGTGTGGGGTTATGCTGTTCCCATTGCAATATAAATCACTTAATAGTCCAGTTCATTTAGATTGGATTTCGTGAAAACTGGACACTTTGTGTTGGAACAATTATGCTAGGTAAGGATGTATTAGCAACACTTTTAAGTAATTTTACCAATACTTATGATTTCAATTTTTTCGATTTTCTAAATTGAAACTAGCTCACCTGACCATTCCTAATTGGTCATATTTTGACCAGAAGCACAATGAGACCTTCCGAAGCTGCCCGTGAGTCATTAAATGAGACAAATCCTCAAAAACGATCTGAACAAAAGCAATTTTTGTCAGTCAGAGACATATCTATAACGTGATTACTCTTGAATAACAGTGCTTACTAAATCAGGAATCAGTCCGTAACATTTATTTAAACATTGATTTCCCAGGAATTACACAATCACCTACTTATACAATCTATACGAGGAATGTCTTTTAAGTTTTGCATATAGTAACATAGTAGGCCGTGCGGATCGAACGTCAGTACTGAATCTTAAGTTTCACAACGATACGTGCAGTGTTCTCACTACAGTGAATATCTAAGTGACACCAAGTCATTAGAAAAATGGAACTCAACCGAGAACATTTTCGCGCCATAATTTATTACAACTTTCAGAGACAACTATCGCAACAATGCCTTGCTGAGTTACTGTCTGCTTTCGGCAACGAAGTGCCACATCAGCCGAGAATTTTGCATTGGTATGGAGAATTCAAACGTGGACGGGTGAGTCTTAGCGACGATCCCAGGGTGGGTCCACAAAAAACGGCAGTCACCCAGAAAAACGTCGATGCTGTGCGCAAACTCATCAGATAGACATGTGACATATCGCGAGATTGAGGCGTCCTTGAAGATCTCAAATACCTCAATTCAAAAAACTTTACATGAAGAATTAAGAATAAGAAAATTAGTTTCTCGTTGGATACCCCACCTGTTGACTGAAGAGCAGAAAGCAGCCAGGGTTGATTGGTGTCAAAAAACGCTTGACCGTTTCAATTCCGGAAACTCAAAAAATGTGTACAGCATTGTTAGTGGTGATGAATCGTGGATCTACTGTTATGAACCCGAAAATAAACGATAGTCGGCTGTTTGGGTGTTCTAAGTTGAAGAAAAGCCAGCAAAATTCATCCGTTCTCGAAGTGTTTCTGAAAAGATTGTCGGGACATTTGTGTCAAAAGCGGGTCATATTGAAATAATTTCTTTTAATGAGCAAAGAACTGTTACTGCGTATTGGTATACCACCATTTGTTTGCCAAAAGTCATCACCGAGCTTCGAAAAATCAACCCCGAAAGAAGAATCATCCTCCACCAAGACAATGCAAGCCCGCACACAGCCCAAAGAACAAGGTAGTATTTAACGGAAGAAAACGTGGAATTACTGGACCATCCTCCATACAGTCCGGATCTAAGTCCTAAGTCCTAACGATTTCTTTACTTTCCCGAAAGTTAAAAACAGACTGCGTGGTCAAAGGTTCCAGTCACCAGAAGAAGCAGTTGACGCATTTAAAAATGCCGTCTTGGATCTGCCAGCAAACGAGTGGAATAAGTGCTTCGAAAACTGGTTTGAGCGCATGCAGATGTGTATTAATCTTCGTGGAGAATACTTCGAAAAACAATAAAGTCATTTAAAACTACCTACCGTGTTGTTTTATTTCCAATATGCAAACCTTAACATAGAAAGAAACAGGAAACGTGACACTTGCTATTTATTTGCAATGCTTTCAATTGTAGATTCCTGAAGAAACTAATGAACATTCGTAAAAACACGAAAACGGGAACCTTTTTAGTCAAGGACTAAAAAGTAGTCTGTTATTGGCAGCATTCCCAATATTTCACATCTTTAGTCTCAGTTGGTCTACATCTGGTGTTTCAAATTCGACTTTCACCGTAGAAATCACGGAAACGATTAGTGATACAAATTCGAATGAATGACATTTTATTTAGTGGTTAAGAGCAAGTGATACTTAGAAGGTTTCAAAGTATTTCCGAAGATGCAAAGAATAAATTTTCCCAAAACCGTTTTTATTTTTCCTGACTTCGCTTGAGCTGGACATTAAGACTGGTACTGTGTTTCATCTACAAGCCGGCACAATAAGAAATTAATGTGAAGTTTTGTTCCTTGTACTCTACATCACTAACATTATTCTTCTTATTAGGATCACATTGGTTTTGGTCAGGTGCAGCGTACATAAAACTATAGCCATAAATTGATATTAATTAAATGCAAAATGTATTGAAGCTGCTCGAAAATGTTTCATCCGGCTTCTGAAAGTTAGACTGTCCTATTCTTCTATGATTTTAACCACTAACACAAAAACTCCCAAAAGCATTAATACATCTAAGTGAGGTTTTTTATATTTTGTACTTGGGGACTTGGGTGGACCGATGTATCTGAGTATCGTGCTACTTATACGCCAGCTAATCGGGCCGCGAGTCCGAATTTCGCCTTTGGAAATAACATTTCGAAGCCGTGAATGTAGTGGCATCATGTTATTGTCTAGGAATTAAAATAAACAACTGGATCTAGCTAATGGGACGTTAAGTGTCAAAAAAAATGTATACTTTGTTAGTTATTTCGAGCTGTACTTAGACATAGAATAATGTCGTAAAAACAATATCTGCTGTTCTGTTATTTTACATAGCTTCTGAAAGTTACGAGGGCCGTTTGTTAAGCCAGGGACTTTTTGAATTTCGCGCACAGTAACCTTGAATGCAACACTGCTGCCGTCAACTGCTATCTTTTGTATGACAACTGTCAAAATTTGAACAAGCTGTGTCATTTCATTGGAATTTGACAGCCGTTGAAAGTAGACAAACTCATAAATTCTAACAAAAATGGTGAAAAGTGAATTTCGTGTTCTAATTAAACATTGTTTGAGAAGGGCAGAACGATCACGGGAGAGTATTATTCAGAGCTGTTAGACAGATTCAACGCTGCTTTGAAGCAAAAACGACCGCATTTGGCGAAAAAAAAATCGCTGTTCCATCAAGACAACACACTTGTACAGATGTGTGTAGTCTGGATGGCAAAAATTCATGAACTGATATACGAACTGCTGCCCCATCCAGCCTATTCTCCAGATTTAGCCACCAGCGACTACTTCCTATTTCCAAACCTGAAAAAATGGCTGGGTGGTAAGAAATTTGGATCGAATGAAGAGGTAATCATTGAACCAAACGCATTTTTTGGGAGCCTGGATAAAAACTACTAATCGGAAGGAATAAAAAAATTGGAAAAACGCTGGATTAAATGTATCGGGCTAAAAGGAATGTTGAGAAATAAAATGCTGATTTGCCGAAAAACATTTTTTTTATTTAAAAAGTCACTGACTTATCAAACGGCCCTCGTATATCATCATAATCATTAAATAAAGAGAAAGAAAATAGTTAACATTACGTGAAATAAAATCGAACTGTAGGAAGATAGATTTTCACACATTTGATCTTCTTTAATCCATATCATGTTATCTGCTTTAATAAAATTGTTCAATGAGAACTGTTAATCTATACCCAGCCTAAAAATGCTCTAGCACTGCATGGCTGGTGATATTATCAAATAAATATCTATCTAATGAATTTAAGCCCTACTTAGAAAATACCGTTATTTGTGTATTAATAATAGTTTTCAATACTAACCTAAGACACATCATGTGTTTTTGAACTCGGGGTTCCAGTATGTACAGTCTGTGAGTACTGGGCTATGGTATATCACGTCAAGGCCGAGCTAAATTATTATGCCTAACGCACGTTTTCGATATTCTCTGGTCGCTTCCATGGCCTGAAGAATTGAATATTTTCCGGAAGATATATCGCCGCCTAAATGCAGAACTGTTGTATTTATTTCCGGATATACAACCAGAATCCTACATTATGAGGATTTTGCGAACAGATCGATGCAACTCATAGGTGTAGAACTAACTACATTTGAGATCCTCTTTAAACACTTATATGTGTCTATACTAGGATCATACTAGAACGAGAATTCGCTGGACAAAAAAAAAATTCTTTGCGTGAGTTTTCATCAGGCGATGTAACGTTCCACTTGGTGGTTATTTTTTATAATCTCAAAGTCAGAGTCGTAACATCACACTGGAACGCGTGGTTCTAGTATGTTGGTCTCTCAACATCTATATAATTCTTTTCATGATTCTCAGTCGTTAAGTTACAACCTCATACGAAATAAGTGAACAGATTGGCTAATGATACGGCGAACGGAAACTAAGGGCGTCGTTCCTACAACTGTAAGATGCCTTTATGGCCACCTTGACATCTATAATTTTCTACTGCTCCGTGTCAACGCTATATTTTGCGATTATGTTACAAATAACTATTTGCATGAAATTGTCCATGCTTTTGATTTATATAACATGTTATATCAGCCTGAAATTTCCTGCAATTCAAAAAGAAAACATCCCTTCCAAAACGAGAGCACTGACGCTGACATGGAAGCGTAAAGTAGACTATTAAAATCACGGAGGCCGTAAAGGCGTCCTACAAGTGTAGGAATGACTGACGTACGGCCCTAACTTTCTTGAATAAAATTGCACTCTGCGCAAGCCTATTCTACTTGCTCTTGCACACACATGCAACACGTGATGGGTGACTGGTGTCTTTTCTCATTTTCTGAAAATACTTCTTAATAAATGTATTCGACAGTCACAGAGTACTACATAAAGGATTTTTTCACTAGTCCACGGTGTAGCACTGTGCAGTACCGGGAACTGATACCCAAATTCTCGCGAAGAACGGGAATAGGAGACGATGGATGTGACGATATCCAAATGTCAAAAAAATCACGTGGTACAGTTAACCGCCTAACGTGCAAAAATGCTGCACAACATGCTCCAACCAATCACTCCCGGTGTAACAACAACAACAATGTTCAAGACAGAGAAAATTAAAAAAACATATTTCTTTGGTTAACAAACTCCCATTCGAGGAGACTTATTGTATATGTATGTGTGAGGGTGGTGGACAGTAGTTCCTGTATCTTCACTCTGACCTGCCAAAAACCCTGACAGGACCTATAAAAATTTCATTAAGCGGAGTGATCGAATGTCACGATTCCATGACAGATACCAATAAAGGCATTAAATTCCGGAGCTCCATACCGGTATTCAGTATATCTGCAATGATATTATTGTATCTGTATCTCAATACATGAATAAAATATTGGAATGGAATGAATTTCAACTTGTCATGTTTTTATTGCAGCCTTGGGTGCCCAAACTGGAGGGAACAGTGGCAACTCGCTGATCGAAAGCACCACCAGAGGGCCGCATTTTGACCTGTCGGCCTCTAAGAATGTCTCAGCCCTCCTTGGAAAAACAGCATACCTCAACTGTAGAGTCAAGAATCTAGCAAACAGAACGGTAAGTAGTTTTATTTTAATCGTCATCCGAAATTATTTTTGGTCACCTAGGGTTGAATCAAGCCGAGAACTCCAGATGCTGATTTTTGCAGACGATTGGTATATCCATATGTAAAAGCCAAAACTTCAAACATGCTATATGAGGTTGCGAAAAGTTAAAAATCCAACCTAAATATACAATTTGATACAGTGCTGTGCATGTTGCCGCACGGGTATTACGTATCTTGAAAAGTGACATGTAGATTTTTTTTAGATAATATTGTTTTTTTGAGACATTATGCAGTTTTTCCTACCAGATGTTAACTTAGCACTAGCTGATGGACACTTGTTGTGAACTCGTTTTGTAGTTGTAGGTGTTGCCTAACCATCGTGAGGCGTCAGGTGTCAATGTTTGGCTCTGATGTGGTGTGAAATCTGTTTCAGAGATGGCAGAACTGTATTTAACGGCAATGCATAGGTTCATCGTGAAGACTTGTGTGCTAATAATATGTGTTGATGATAATTCCATTGGATTCTTTTCTCAAATACACCTATCTGAGATTCAAAGCTAGAAATTAATTGCGCATCCACTTTTTCTTATCCATCCTGGAAATTACACATATACATGCGTGGACGGAATATAACTCATAAACAAATACATTTTGGGAAAATCAATTTATGGGATGTTATACATGACACTTGACGGCACATTTCTGAAATATTTGCAATTATACAGGGTGACCCAATTTTGACCTACATATCAAAGTTGTGATTTTTTAAGTGGAGTGCCTCAAGTTTTATTACATATTTGGATAAACCAATTCAACAGAAGAAGATTGATATAACATAATATGGGGTTTTGGTAATTAGTTACTGAGATATAAGGCATTTTGTCCACAAAAACCGTCCAATTCGGCAACCCCTCAATCCGCCATTTTAAAATTTGGAGTGCTGAATTTTGTATAGAAAAAACTTACACACCTCAGCTTCTACCTTATTTGTTTTTTGCACATACAAAAACGCAAATTGTACATTTTCTCAAAAATTTCAAATACATCAAACTGTATATTTGTGCAAGTTTGGATTCAATTTTGTATTAGCTTTTTTTTTGGTATGAACTTTGATGCAGATAAAATCAATAGGTTTTGAGTTATTAATCTTTTAATAGAACAACACACCAAAATTAAAGAAAACAATCACGTCATCCATGGAAACAAAACACAAACAGTGGGCTAGTTCCATATTGCCACTAAGAATCCAGATTTAGCG